CCCAAGTTTACTCATGGAGATCTCATCTATTTCCCTTCCCAAGGCAATCCATGCATCCCTCTTAGATTCCTCCTTGTTACCTAGCTTTTCTGGATCTGTGGATTGTAGCCTGGTTACCCAGTGCTTTGCATCTAGTATCCACTTATGAGTGAGTAAATACCATGTTTGTCTTTCTGTTAATCAAGCTTTTATGAATCTCAAACATAGGTTTTTAAGAACAATATTTTCTTTTCATTTGGGCTAAGATCTGAGAGCAGAATTGCTGAATCATGTAACACATGTGTGTTTAACTTTTAATTAAGGTGCCAAATTGTCTTCTTTGATTGTACCATTTTGCATCTCCTCCAGACATGTCTGAGGGTGCCAGTGATGCCATATCTTTGTGACCACTTGGACTTAAAGTTCCTAAGTCTGATTGTATTGAAGGGGTGTGAAGGAGTGTCTCATTGCAGGTATTTTAATGGAATTTGAGCCTCTGCTTCCCCTTCCCACTTGCACTCATTCTCTGCTTCCTTCCATAGAAATGCACCTGAGCATCTTCATTCCACATATCTGCTATGGCCTTGGCAATTACCAGCAGAAGGTCTCTGAATGAAGGTGCAGTGAATAACAAAGCACATGGGTTCTACCCCTCCCCCAGCTGTCATAGTCACAGTTCTGCTGCTCTGAAGAACAACACAACTTATAATAGAAAGCATTTAATTGGGGGCTTCCTTATCGTTTCAGAGGATGAGTCCATGACCACAATCCTGATGGGCAGCTTTGCAGCAGTCAGGCAGGCACAGTGTTGGAACAGTAGCTGAAAGTTTACAACCCGATCCACCAGCAAGAGGCAGAGAGATAAACTGGGCCTTGTATGAACTTTTGAAACCTCAATCCCCCACCCCCAGGGACACACATTCTCTGAACACACACCTCCTAAACAGCCCACCAACCGGGTACCAAACATTCAAATATATGAGTCTATAGAGGCCATTCTCATTCAAACCTCCACACCAGCTGAACTGAGAAAAAGTCTATAACAAGGAGAAGTAACATGAACCTCAGGATGTAAAAAGAAGCTTTACCTTGGTTCTTTCACCTCTCATGCCCAAAACCCATCAGTTCCTTTAGTCAAGGAATTGAGGGTAGGGAGAGCAGCTGTCAGTAATGGCTGGGACCTCAGACTGGACAGTAATACATCGGAACCACTAAGCACAACAATAGAAAGTTTTGATGGGGAAATGCATGGCTGTGTTATGCTAGGAAAAACAGAAAAGCACCAAGTTCTACAAGGAAGTTCTACAGTGATAGGCCATGGTCCATAGCGGCAGGGGAAGGAGGATCTCCCTGACTTGAGGCCAATCTGGTCTACAGAGCAAGTTCCAGAACAGCCAAGGCTCTACAGAGAAACTCTGCCTTGAAAAACTAAACAAAGGAAGGAAAGAAAGAAATACAGAAACCAACCCACTTGGCCTCTGAGCTCAACTTGATCTATTTTCGTGAGAAGCAAGATTGTTAATGCTCATAGGACTCTGAATTCTGGACCAGCTAGTAGATGTGGGATATGAAATGTTTTTTAAATACCTAATTGGATGCAGTGAGTTTAGATGGGTTATAATGAGAGAGGAGGGGGCATGAATTGGATGGGAATTTGGGAGGAATTGTTCTAGAAAGGGGAGTAAACATGATTTAAATATGTTAACCTGTTTATGATATTATCAAAGATGAAAATATACTTCCTGGATATTAGTTGAGAGACTGAGCATTTGTCTCACATGTATAAGACCCTGGATTCAATATCCTGTCTCCATTTCAGATGTTTGGGAAAATTGACACATCAGAGGTGATTGGATGTCAAAATATGTCCTTCTGTTAATAAGCCCTAAGAATTCTCATCTATATAAGTAGCTTGTAAAACATTTGATTTGCCACAGCCCTGGTATCTTAGAAAGTTTATGTGACCATAACAAAAATTATCATAAGAAACAAGCTCAGGTCTATGGCAGACACACGTGGCCTGGCTACTTGGAAGACTAAGGCAGGTGGAATATATGAGCTCAAGAGTTAAAGGTCAGCCTATAACATACACACACACTGATCACAATTACATATATGCATAGATTGATACATGTAACATACATACATGAGTTTGTATATATCATAACCTATGTGGCTTATAACCAATAGGAAGTTGTTCACAATTGTGAATACCATGAATTCCAAAATTAAGGTACCATCAGGTATGCTATATATTGAAGGCTAGCTTTCTCATCCAAAGATTGTTATTTTTTGTTATACTGAGCTGATGGAACAAATAATGATGCTCATGATGTGAGCTTCCTAGTGGCCAGTCTCTGAATATCCTCATTGTAGAGTTCATTATTGAGCTGACCTGATAATAGATGCCTTAGAGGCAGAGGACAAGGTCAGATACAGAATGGAAAAGGCGTGCTGGTAATTCAGATAGGCTATATCAACAATAGTAGATTTTCTGAGTCTCAGCACAAGTGTATTTAACTTTTGAAGAAGATGTCAGCCTTCTTTCAACATGACTATCCGTTTTGCATCCCCTCTGAGCATGCGTGTGTGAGCATGCCAGTGGCTCCCTGTCTTTGCCACCACTGAGTATGTGCATATGCAGTAGTATCTCCATGAAGAGAGTTCTGTAGACTTTAGTCCACCTCCCTCTTCCTGCCTACAAATGAAATGTTCCAGACCACCCCCTCCACCACACACACAGAATTTGAGAGTCTTCTTCATTCTACATGTTCACTATGGTCTGCACAATCATCAATGAAGGGCCTCTAGATGATGGTGCACTGGATGACAGAGTACATAGGGATGTTGCCCCAAGTCTTGCTACATAGCAGTCAAGGATTAAGAGGACACACCAGCCTTTCCTGTTAACATAAAGAAGCTACTCCCATGTCTTTGAGCTTGGAAGAATCAGATGGAGTGGTCCTTTCAGGTCCCAAAGCCCAGATGTTCACCAGAAAGAAAGTTAAGGACAGAGAGAACATCTACCTATGCAGGGCCTGAACACACACAGAGTATGGAGGGTAGATATTAAATCTTATTCATGGATGGGATGATTTTTATATTCCACATTGCAAACACCAGGGAGCAAAAGAAAGACAATACTACCATTAAGCCTTGGCTCAGTAGATGGTCAGAGAAGATTCCTTCCTTTGAGTCTAGGAGGACTGCTGCCTGATGCTCTTACTGGGGACTTTACTGAGCTCCTGCTGCACACATGCATCTGTGAGGTCTCCATTTCTGCTGACATACAGGACACGTCACCAAATGGTCTTTAGACTTTCAGTAGCTGTGTCATTTATTTTATTAAGGAATTTTTAATTCATTTTACATACCAACCACAGATCCCCCTCTCTTCCCTCCTCCCATTTCTCCAGCCTTCCCCCCACCCGCCCATCTGACATTCCCTCCTCTAACAAGATAAGGCCTCCCATAGGGAGTCAGTAGAGCCCTATACATTTAGCCCCTCCCACCACATCAAGGCTGTGCAAGGTGTCCCACCATAGGTAGTGGGCTCCAAAAAGCCAGCTCATGCACCAGGGACGGATCCCAATCTCACTGCCAGGGGCTCCTCAAGCAGATCAACCTACATCACTGTCTCACTTATGCAGAGGGTCTAGTCCAGTCCCATGGAGGCTCCAGAGCTGTTGGTCTAATGTTGATGAGTTCCCACCAGTTTGGTTGTCTCTGTAGGTTTCCCCATTATGATCTTGATGCCTCTTGCTCATAAACTCCCTCTTCTCTATCTTTGACTCCTGGAGCTCAACCTGGTGTTTGGCTGTGGATCTCTGCATCTGCTTCCATCAATCACTGAATGAAGGCTCAATGATGACAATTAGGCTATTCACCAATCTGATTACTAGAGTAAGCCAGTTCAGGCACCCTCTCTACTATTGCTAGTAGTTTAAGCTGGGCTCATCCTTGTGGATTTCTGGGAACTTCCCTAGCACCCAGTTTCTCCCTGTCCCCATGATGTCTCCCTCTATTATGCTATCTCTTTCATTGTTCTCCCACTCCGACCCTGTTCCAGCTCTACCATTCCATTCCCTTATGTTCTCTTCCCCCATCCTGTACCTTCTATTGCCCCTCATCCCCAGTGTCACCTTTTAGAATCTCTTATGCCAATGATTTCTTTGCAACCAAATTTGCCTATGTTCTAGCATAGATGGGTAAATTTTGCATAAAACTATGATCTAAGAAATCACTTTCACATAAGTATGAGACTCCTACTTTCACTGGAAGAAGTTCCCTTGAGGTTCTCTCTGTCAGTCATTGCCTGATCTCTGCTCCAGGGCAACCACTTTCTGATGATTCAGTTTGGAAACTGCATATAATTTAGAAACATCAGAGTCCTAGCTATCC